AAAAAAAAAAAGACGATAGCAGGAGGGGAAGAACAAAGGGGAGTAAATCGGAGAGGGAGACGAATCATGAGAGACAATGGACCCTGAAAAACAAACAGGATTCTAGAGGGGAGGTGGTGGGTGGATGGGTTAGCCTGGTGATGGGTATTAAAGAGGGCATGTTCTACGTGGAGCACAAACAATGGCTAATGACATGATGTATGGTGATTAACATAACAATAAAAAAATAAAAAAATAAAAATAAAGAATATCTTTCCACTTAAATGTGAAGTTGTAGCATGTGTAATACTGGTACGTTCTGATTTGATAGTTACTTACCCGGGCAATGCAGTAATCCTTAGGATTTTCTTTTTCCAGACCATATTTCTCTAAAGCTTCAGCCACAGCAAAGTCTGCAGGATCTGTGGTAGACAGCAGGATTGTCTTGTAGGGAATATTTGGTTTTAAACTATCTGCATAAATTCTCAATGTTCCACCTGAAAAAAAACATTTTGACATCTTTGAGCACTACTTTATTTTATTCCAGTAACAAAGATAGCTAACAATTATGATCACTTTAAAAAAGGGCACCTAAGTTCCAGTTGCAAGGAGTACAAAGATGGAATCTGTGTAATACTTCTATATTCATGTCCTGTTAGACAACAGACATTTACAGTCACTTGTTGATCTATCAACACTTTGCTATAGTGAATAATCCTGTATGACAAAGACACTTTCTGTCCTCTCTTCAAGCCCAAGTAGTTTTTATAATGATGAACCGATTTTCACTATGGGTAAAGGATGAGAAAAGGAAGAAACTCCACAGTGTTTTGATAGCGCTGCCTGTCAACGCATTTAACCATATACAAACTTACACAGACTGGGGGCCCCCATGTTCAAATGCCGAGGACACAGCGATGAATAGGTCAGATAGTGGTACATGTTGTGGAAAACATAAGCAGGGTTGTAAGAAAGAAAATGACCAGGAGCTTCCTAAGCTCCTGGGACTGTAAAGCCCTCTATGAAGATGAACACCTGCCACGAGCCCTGAGGGACATGCAGCAGCCTCATGGCCACCTCAAGAGCTTCCTGGGCAGAGCGACAAGCAGGTGCTAAGGCCTACAGCTAGCGTGGGTCTGGCTGGGCTCACCGGCCAGAGATGAACCCCAGGTGAAAAGAGGGAAACGCAGTGAGACTGGCCGAGGCCAGACCACAATCGTGAGAGTCTGGATTTGACTCTAGGTGAAGCGGGAGCCACTGGGAGGCTTTGGCTCTGTGCGTGCGCACACGCAAGAAAGAGCGAACCCATGCCTATGTGTGCAGGGAGTGCACACAATCCCCCTCGTGCTCTCGAAGAGGCCCCGGCTTCTAGTTAAAGGACAGCTGCAGTGGGGACGACAGCCCCAGCAGGGAGGCAGGTTTTGAAGCACGTATCCTATTCTACCAAACGCATTCCCTTCTGATTTAATTACACTCTACTTCCAGATGCATATTTGAATTAATTTATAAGAAAAACACGTATAAGAGAAAGAGCAGAAAACAATTTTGTAGACTGAGGTAACACCTCTGTGTGCTTTAGACAACCAAAGAGCAAACCAGACCACCTGTTTTGAAAGCTGACGAGATGGCCACAAAAAAATGCAAATGGTCAGAAATTTAATTTTTCTAAAATACTTGCATCTGCTAAAAGCCAAGTACTTTACAATCCCAAAGTTACAAACCTTAGAGGATGAAAGACTATTTGGTCTGAAAAAATTTAAGGTCAGGTTTTACCAGAAAATCATTTAAAAAGTCAGTATGGTTCCTACAGATAACATAATTTTATTTTATTTTATTTTATTATTTTTTTGATAACATGATTTTAAGCAGCACTTCTTCTAAAGGACACATCATGATAAGGTAGCTGTAAAATTCATATTCACTGGCCAAATGAACTTAGTTACTGGATGGAATGACTTTTAGCATCCATCTGAATGTTTCAGAATATCTAAACCTTTACTTGGTTTTAGTATAATGAGTGTGGAGTCCAATTCAAAAGGTTTTCAGTTGATGAGCCTCACACCAGTGTCCCCCTCATAGAGAAACATACCACCCAATTTGCTAAGGAAGAAGAGAGGAGCAGCTAATAATTTAAAATCCCTACAATGGACTGAAATTGATCTGTATAAATCTATGTTTCAGCTCTGAGACTAAGCAGGACTGCTACCCTGCTCTGAAAAGGGGCACACCGAGGCCTGCAGCTCTCCAGGACCCCAACTACGGGATCCCTGTCACTGCGCCCTGCCGCTCCCAAAGCGGCTCCTAGAAAAGCCTCATGCTGCTGCCAACGATGTCTCAGTAAGAAATCCACGGTCTTAGCTGATAGCAAAACAGTGCCACGAACCAATTAACTGACATATACAGGGCGTTTCGGGGCCAACTGCACTTTGAGGATCACAAAGTGTATATACCCGAGTGTTAAAGAGGCTTTATAAAGTCCAAGGTCCAAGCTTCTTACAAGCTAGGAGTCTTGATCAGCTGTGTAGTGAGTCAGGTCATGAGAATTCAGGGAGCCAATCCTCAGGCTAACCAGACAGGAAAATAATAGACTGAGCTGTCAGCCTCAGAAACCCTACCCACATGTGACCACGTCCCCCATATTTTCTACCAATGAAACAGCCAAGCTAGTAACTATAACAGGTTAGGAAAATATATTTTCTAAGTCATTTATTAAAGACAAACAAAATACCTGAACTTAATATATCTGACGTCCTTAACATTAGCCATAAACAGCTATTTTGCTAATAATATTTAGTTTTTTAGGGTTTCCTGGGAGTCTATATAGAAAAAGGTTCCTTCTGCTCCCAACTATCTCTTTAACCTCTACTTCTTGGATGTTCTGCTAGTTTTCCTCCTAATTCTTTGGAGGTTTTTTTTTTTCCCCTTGTCCTTGCCTACTCCTCTTAACAGTGGCCTTCCCTTAAATTCTTCTATATTACCTGTATACTTTCTACCAAAAAGAATCTCACCCATGCCCAGTGTCGCTGCCTGGCAACCACAGATTACTCCCAAATCTCTCTCTCCATCTGACACTGCTGAGCAGAACCTGGTCTCGTGCCACTCAACTACCAGCTCAGAACACCCCCCAAATCACACCAGCAGCTCCACGAAACCTGTCTTCCGCTCCCAAATATTCTCTCATTGCAGTCCGTCAACACGCATCTAGCTGGAGACGGGTGTTACAGTCTGCACCAGGCTTTGGTACATGGCTTCTGTCTGACCAGCCGCTCCCAGCGGCTGTGCTCAGAAACCCATCCCTCACGTGGGCAGCACGCGCTCATTTCCAACCGCAGTTCCCTCAGATCCATCCTCTATTCTGCTCCCACAGTAACCACTCCAGACCTGAAGCTTAGGCTAAATTAAAACCCTTCTGAATCCCCACCTTAAAACTCTTCAGCAGCTCATTAACAGATCATATCCAATTTTTCCATCCAATTTTCCCAAATTTCCCCAATAAATATGGGTCTCTGTGGGCACAGCCTGATGTGACATGCAGTTTCCTGTAACAATACATATAAATGTTACATCCTAATCCACATTAAAAGCATATTTCCTCTAAAAATATTTTATTAAGTTACTTACAAAAATGGATCCTCTCAGCTAGCTATGTTTATCACGACTTACACGTCCCTGAGCATACTTGAATATTCCTCAAGGAATCAGAGGAAATGATCATTTTGATCATATCAAACTCCTTCCTATGAGAATCCCTCCAGGTCTGTCAAGCAATGGGTCAGCATTATGTTAGGCATCTCTGAGCATTCCTCTTGTTCTTTCAAAGATTTTATTACCTTTCTTCATCTTTGTATTTTCTTTCCCTCCTCTTCATTTTATTTTCCTTAGTGCATGTATTTCTAAGTTTTTTTGAATCTTTCATCAAACAAGATAGGATACATAGAAACAGATCATCACCTGGATCTCAGAGGTAATCTGTTACATTATTTATGGAACTAATAAGTAGCCCACTCTCCTAGCTGTTTTGAATCACTGACACTACAGCTCCCATGAAACATGTAACTAAGACTCAGAAGGGCACTGAGGATCAAAGTAAACACGTGATGGACCCAGCTTCCATCAGGGCTAGCGGCCATGGGTAACACTACACTGAGGGAGTGCCCTATCTGTGTAAGTTCCGAAGACATGGAATCACTGGCAGTTTCTGTCAAGTGAGCATATCATATCAGAACCATGGTCCACAGACAACTTCATGAATGGAGATGAGAGAGACTTACTAAGGAGAGAGATGAACGCTGTTCACATGAATGTAATACGAGTGTCAACACAGCCCCCCTTGCCGGATCTGACCTGCTGCCACATAGGTATATTGGATTATAGTTACAAACGTGATCTGGGTAGGGGTTAAAACTCTTTGACTCAGGCTTGGACTCAAGAGAAGGGGTCCACAGTTAGAGAAATGCTGGCAGTGGGGACTGGGTGGGTCAGTTGGTTAAGTGACTGCCTTCGGCTCAGGTCAGGATCCTGGAGTCCCGGGATCGAGTCCCGCATCGGGCTCCCTGCTCGGCGGGGAGTCTGCTTCTCCCTCTGGCCCTGCCCCCTCTCATGTGCTCTCTCTCATTCTCACTCTCTCAAAATAAATAAATAAATCTTTAAAAAAAAAAGAGAGAGAGAGAGAAACGCTGGCAGTCCCAACATTCAAAACCCTAAACCGAGTAAGTGAGCTAACAGGTGCAGAGGATGCAACACGACACAAGCAGTTCTCAGGTCCACGAGCGTAAGGTTAGGAAGGACTGCAGAGAGGGTGGGTCCTGTGAGCTCAGACAATTCGTAGAAAAGGCTGGATTGGTGATATAGTCCTCTCATACAAGGCCTCTTTTTGAAACTCAAAATGATTTATGCTATCATTTTTTAACAACCAAAACTTAGTTTCTAACAAATATTTTCTTTGCTGAATACAATTATAGGTTAATTACAAATAAAAGTTTTATGTCAAACAGCTAAATAGCTAAAAGTACACAAGTTCAATTTATAGCTAAAACAGTAATGTCGTTTGTTTTAACTCTCTTTATAATCTGTATTTCCCTCAGAAACACAGAGTAATCTCTAGTGTATGCCAGTAAGTGGAAAAGACAAGGTGGGAGAAAAGTGTACATAGCACGCTGCCATGTAATTAAAGGGGCTGACGGGGGCAAAAGCTGAACTTCTCTACATACACCTTGTTTAGTAGATTTGACTTGGGAACTATTACAGTACATTAAATTTTTAAGAAGCAAACCTCTAAAATCAAAAGCAAAATAAAACAAACCTAAGTATTAATGAATATGAGCTTATAACTACATAGCAGGAATCAATTCTGTGATTTCAAAAACACAGTAATTTGACAGTACATCCTTATATATACTCACAGACAAGTCTCCCAAAAAGCTTAAAATTTTTTAGTATCAACTTGTTAATAATAGCATTATTTTTATTTTCATATTACTATTTATCATAGGGAAAAGCAAGTAATTATGTTATTGGTGTTAGGTGGGAAGAATTTTTATAAGAGAAAAGATACTCAGATTTTCTGAAATCAAAGTAGTGAAAAAAAGAGATATTAAAAGTAGTTCCAGCTCTGTCCACTAAATAAGATTAAAAGCAAACACTAGCCAGTACGGAGGAGCACTCTTAGCAATCCAATACTTATCCCACTAAAAAGAACAAGGATTCCTTGGAGAAACAGCAGCTTCCTAGCCTGAGGCAAGAAATGGACTAGGTGAGCCTAGATGTCCTGTCACACAGGAAGATGCTCCAAGACCACTGGGGCCATCCGAAAGCCTGAGGCACCAGGTGGAAGAGATCCTCGCTGTCTCAAAGACCGTTCAAGAATCAGAAGGACAATAACTGCAACAGATGGAAAAATACTGAGAAGCTTTAACTCCATCAGATCATGAAAACATTTCACAAACACTGCTCACCTGTGGATGCTAATAAGGTAAGTATTTCTGCCACACTCCCTCTCCCCCAAAAACCTAAACCTGCCTCTTCACCTAATTGAGGAAACAGAGAAAGGAGGAGGAAAAAATGGTAAACTACCGGATGCTGTCAGCAAAATCTACAAGACAAACAACCTACTCGGTTTTCCAAATGCCTAGTGAAGCACACTGGAGGTGAGCTAAGAGACAGGATCAGGACCTGGAATGACAGACACGCCAAGCAGGTGCCGCATGCAGGTTCTACCCGGCCCTCGACACGAATGGACAATTATCTGCAGCCGTCAGGAACATGTGAACAGTGACAGGACAGCTGATGGTATTAGGGAATTGGCTTCAATTTTTTGTATGTGACAATGGGACTGTGGTTTCTTCTGTTTTTATTTTTTAAGAATACTTACCTCTAGGAAAATATATTGAAATATAAGATGAAATACTGAGAAATTTGGGATTTGCTTCAAAATAGTCCAGGTTTAACAGGAGCAATCCATGTAGGAGCAGAGATGAGACACGAGTCATTAATTATGGAAGCTGGGCAATAAGTACGCAGGGAATTGTTATCTTTCTGTCTTCTTTCATATATATTTTCCAGAATTCAGAAATAAAAACAAAAAAAGGAAGAGCCACACTGGGGAAAAGTATGTAACTAAACATATCTCTAAGTGACCGGAACTCCTGTGCCTAAGGCAAAGCTGGTCCTGGAGCAGACCCACAGGGCGCACGGTGCCTTTACTGCCGCAAGGCCCAGGTCTGTGTCAGCAGCAGGGGACGCCTGCCGCGGGTACCTGAGTCAGGCCGCCCGTCGGAGCTCCGGAACTCCTGCATCCTCCTCTCTAGTTTCTGCTGCCGGCGACGCTTCATGACCACCTCCGGATTCGAAATCGTTCGGGTAAAGCTGGTTTCAGGCATGTCTTTGTAAACCTCAGCAGCCAGTCGGGAATTCTCACTGTAAGAAAAGAAAGGCACTGACAGTATTTTCTAGAAAGAACTGCACTGTAATGAGACACACATCCCCGTGGCGGATGTCCCTGGGCTTGCTCTGTCCCATGCACAGTTGCGCCGGGGACAAGTGACCACGTGCTGACGAGTGCTGCGGATACAAAACGAAGTTCCTCTCAATACAAGCAACACACTAAAGGGAAATTTATCATTAAAATCTCATGGTGAGTTTATGTGACTTAATTATTGTGGGTTCACTAATCAGGCTAAAAGAAAAATGTATAAATTATACATGTAAGGAATTTCCACCAGTGTTTTCCTAAAACAGACCAAATGAGTGGGAAAACATTCCGACCATAAGAAATAAAGGATCAAATATACTTTTAGTAAAAATCTCTCTTACAATTATAGTAAATCTTGAGCTTAAACTGCATGATTTTTTAACAACTAAATGATTTACCAACATTCACTTTCTTGAAGCTAAACTTACAAAAGGAAATGCTCCAGCAGTTCTTCTGACAAGGAGTTGACTATGGAGAATGAGGAGCTGAAGACTGCATATTAAAGAAAGACTGATGACTAAATTCTGATAAATACACTTTAAAGATGTCATTTTTAGTCATAAAAATAATTTAATTAAAAACCAATCAAGCATTGGGGTCCCTGGGTGGTTCAGTGGGTTGAGCGTCCGACTCTTGGTTTCAGCTCAGGTCATGATCTCAGGGTCTGAGATTGAGCCCCATGTGGGGCTCAGCACTCAGCAAGGAGTCTGTCTCTCTGCCCCTCCCTGCCCCCTGCTCCTTCTTTCTAACAACATAAAACCAAGCTTTGAATCAACCAATTTGAACAACTTAACTCGTTTTAACTAATTTTCTAAACACAGACAATATATCACCCCATAAACTAAACTGATAATTAGGACAAACCATAGCCTAAGTTTCAAACGCTCCTTTTCTTTGATATTTTTCATGTATAAGCAATATATTTATACAAGTTCTATTTATGCTAAAGAGAGGCTTACTATGTAATACTTTACTCAAGAGTTTACACTCATTACATAGACATCAGTGCCTGACAGATTAATACCTAAACCCACTTTGATGCAATCCGAAATGGGCTTGATTCCACTGTAAAGTAAACATCATTAACTAAGGAATGGTTAACTGTCCTCAACAGATACAGAACACTGGATCAAATAACAAAGACTTGAAGAAGTCACTACAACAGAATATAAATGGTTAGTGAATGTGTAAAAAGACATCTACCTTGTTAATGATAAAATAAATTCGAGTTATTGGAGGTATTATACACTGTGGAGAAGGGAGTGTATGACAGTTCTCAGGGTGGGAGGATGCCAGCAGGCTCGTGGGCTCCGGAAGACACTTCCAGGGACAGCCTGGAGATGTATGCGGCCTCAGGCTGCCCCTGAGCAGTCTTCTAGAGCACTCCCAGAGTTGGAGAGCGAGGATGGTCACATGGTCACAGAAGTATTACTTATAAGACCAAAGAACCTGTGAACTACCTATAAGCACACAAAAAGGGGCCAGTGAGATAAAATTTGAAAAAACTATATGAGAGATTACTACATAATCGTTTAAATTACTTCATACTTTTGTGAAAATATATACTTGTGAATATATATATGCATTTATGGAATACGTTCTAGTGGAAAAATATCATGTGGAAAGCTCTAGTTTTAAAAGCCTATGATTTTATTTGTTTAAAAACTCTACATAAACATATGAAGTATATGTTTTTCATATTTGTGTATTTGTGTATCAAAAACAAACTATAGGGGCGCCTGGCTGGCTCAGTCTGTTAAGCATCTGCCTTCTGCTCAGGTCATGCTCCCAGGGTCCTGGGAATGAGCCCCATGTCAGGCTCCCTACTCAGCAAGGAGCATGCTTCTCCCTCTCCCTCTGCCTCTGCCTGCTGCTCCCCCCACTTGTGCTCTGTCTCTGACCAATAAATAAATAAAATCTTAAAAAAACAGTAACAAAAACCCTACGGCTCTCTTTGGGCTCCCGCGATGACAGGTTAGGCTCTCCTTCTGACCAATCCGTATGCTCTGGCTTCCTAACATGCGCGCCTGCTACTTCAGCACTGGAAGGACAGTGCGGACACTCTGCTGCCGTCCCCAGCCAGGCGAGGAGGTGCCTAGGAGGAAGTGCACAACGCGCGCTGGCCTAACGAACGGCCTGACTCGGTCAGAAGTTCAAATGCCTTCCGAGAGCTAAGTACAACTATGATGGGGCTGGTGTGACGAAGTAAGGGATGGGAGCCGGTGGGGCTGGAGTCAACTAGATGGTGCATCTGAACCTTAGCTGCCCCTCTCGCTGTTCTTGCCCACCTCTGATGAGTGTTCAGCATAGTTAGGGTCTGCAGGAAGGCACTACCGCCTTAAGGACCAAAAAAGCCAGAAACAAAAGGCCAGAGATGAAGAGAATACGGACATCAATGGTCTACTCAGAAAAAACAATACTGTTCACCAGGTTGCTTCTTTCGGATTAGCAAACCCACGAGACAGGTATGGTGGGCCGTAAACCTTGCTCAGGTGAGACCCTCCACCTTCCCCACACACAAGAGCCAGAGGGTACTGAAATTAACTTCGTAACGGATGTTCATTCTCTTCACAGTTTATCTGGTAATTTGACGAGGTCTGCTACATTAAAAACATTCAGCTTATTAGAGCAAAAGGAAATAGGAGGTATTTCCAGAATTACTTACATGTCTTCCCCTTGGAAAGGCCTATCGTCCTTATCAGACGCCTGCCTCACTGCCTCTTTTTCTCTCTTCTTTTTCTCCTTCTTTTCTTTCTTTGAGAGAGTTCTCTTGAAGTTCTGGATAACACCTTCTTTCTCCTGCTTTTCAGGTCCATTGCTTTGAGCCTTCTGATAAAAGTAGCATCATCACTAAGGCGGCTGTTACACAGAATCACAGAAAGTTCTCTATGGCTAGCTAACTTCATTTCACATGTTAACGCCAAACCCAGCTGCATCCGGGGGATGGAAATGTCCTTTACCTTGACTGGGTTACAGGCGTGTATTTAGTAAAACTTAATGAATTATACATCCACGATCTGTGCCTTTCACCGTGTGTATATTTTACTGCAATTCAAAACTAATATGCAAGCAAGCAAACAAACAGAAAACCAAACCCACTAAGAAAACTAGGGTAGGAATCATGAACTCTGATTTTCAATAAATAAAAATCCAAGTAATTTACATAGCTACTTTTAAAAAAGCCGCCTAATCAAAATATGGAAATAACTGGGGTGCCTGGGTGGCTGAGTCAGTTGAGCGTGGGACTCCGGATTTCAGCTCACGTCATCCTCTTGGGGCTGTGGGACTGAGCCCCGCACTGGGCTCTGCGCTTGGTACAGAGTCTATTCGTCTTTCTCCCTCTCCCTTCACCCCTCCCCCTGCTCTCTCGCTAAGAAATAAAATCTAACCAAAAAAGGAAATAACTGTTTAAATCTTCATCTACTTTATACATGTTTTCTCTAACTTCAAAAGAAATGTTAAGCATACTCTAAGAAACTGGCTTTTTTGAAGCAAATTATAAGTACTATTTGTGCAAAAACTTCTAATTTCTTCTCCAGATCTTGTTTATCTGCTTGTTTATTCTTAATTTACAACATGGCCTGCTAGCAGATGACACAGACATTATTTTTTTGGTATAATTAATAGGCTGACTGGTAAAGAATTAAGAAAAAACACGAAAGAACGGTTACTGTATTGGGAAATAAACTACCTTCTGTTTTATCTAAGTTAGCATTTCCATTTTCATTGCTAGCCACATCAGCACTGTCCTAACCCTAATAAGACCTCTGATCTACATGAATGAGGATCTCTTGGCCCACAGCTGAAATCATGGTGCAGAAATGAAATAACACATGGACCAAAAAAAAGAGAGATGTTCATTGTTACTTTATATGTATTTGTATTTGCTACAAATACCAAGCCACTAAAGCACAGGCCAAGGCCAAGAACACAGTTTGTGTATCTAAAACTCTTCAACATGGAACACTAACATCACACAAATAAAGTGAAAATTTTTTGTTTCCAGAAGTGAACAATGGCACTCTTTTCCCAATCTGTTGAGGAAAATAAATAGAAGATTTTTCTCAAAATATTCTTGACCTCTGCATTTGCTATCACTTGTCAATAATGAATTCTAGTGTAAGATGCCACTTGATTTAGCACATAAATCATCGTTAGTTTCAAATCTTATCTGTATTTCACAGTGTTCCACATGAGCACAGCGGCATAGGAATTCCAGACACCCCACCACCGGAGAAAGTTTGGTATCACTACACTGCATTACATCAGCCCAGACAGTTGGCTAACGTCTAATCTTACACACAGAGTACAGAAAAGGTTTTAAATGTGCCTTACTAAGTTGTATCTGAAGAGTCACACAAAATAGGTTGTGATTCTTATTAAAACATATTTTGAATTTCTAATTTGGTAAAAAACCTGGAGCTGATTACTTGATCATTAAATCTTCTAATAACAAAAGCTTCCATAATGCTTCTTTGCAAAAGTAAAGAGCAATATTAGGGATTAGTTAGTGAAACAGAGGATGAAACGAGATAAGTAGAACTCCTTTCAATTTTTTTCTGGGAGGTGGGTAAAAAAGTCATTTAGGAAAAGCAGCAAACGGGAAAGTTCCGTGCAGTCCTATCACACTAACTAACATCACAGTCTCGTGTTCGTCTTGGTCAGACCTGGGCCCGGGACACCATCAGCACAAGATGCGGAGGGATCCTACCTTAGGAGGAATGGCATCGTTCTCATTCTTAAGAACAAATCTGCCCTCTCGATCATCTTTATTCCAATTCAACTGAACAACCAGGGGTTTCTCATCTATATCCAATCTTCTTTCTTCTTCAAATCATGAAATGAAAAAATGTTAAGTCATGGTTATTTAATGGCACCAGCTAATACAACATTCTCAAATATGTTTAATTTTGTAGACATAAATACCTTATTACCACAAGTATTTACTAACAGGCCGAAATGTAATTCAAAATGTTATGTGTTAGTTTTAATTATTTACTATTTTGTTGCCACTATAATATATACTACCACGTACCAGTGCCAAACACCGACCAGGGATAATGCCCTTACAACATTTAGAATCCCAATTGGGAAAGTAAGAGAAATACACACAAACTAGAAAAAAAAAATATATAGGGCTTTGCTATTAGCCTAATTCTGTAAATCAAATTATCTCATATATGCAACTGGAAAATAAGGAAACATTAACGTAACACAGGAGTTCGGCTGATCTATGAGATTTCCTTCTCGCACGAAAACAGCTGTACTCTTCTTGCTACCTCTCGTCTCCCAAACTCACCAGGTCCAGCCCTCACAGCACGTCCCACCATGAAACCACCATCCCATCTCTTCATTAGGACAGCCTTAGGTTTAGGAGAATTCCTTCCTTGCTTGCTACACATCTAACATGCCTCAGGGCATACTGGTCAGGAATGGGATGGAACGGGCTCCCTGAGGGCCTGGCACACCTCGGCCACCTATCAGAAGCCTACAGTGGGCCAAGATCATCCGTGTAACTGTAGACAGGATGTCTACAATGAGCAGAGCAAGCACAGGAGGTAGAGGCCAGCTGGAGAACTACTGTGGTAAAGGAAGCAGGAATTAACGGGGCAAAATTTAAAGGATAAATAGACTTAGACAGGCTTTTAGTAAATACTGTATATAAACAGCAATGTTAATTATAACACAGTAATAACAAATTCAAATATCTTATTTTATGAACCGAAAATACGAGAAATGAAAATGAGAACAATAAATTAGGAACTGGATGAAGTTTGAAATTCCTGCTACAAACCACAATTACCAAGTTCTTCTTACTGCAAAGTTTGTATTAGATCAAAATCCTTCATAGTATATTTTTTAAGTCGAAATTGTAAAAGTCAAATAAAAACAGGGGTGAGGTATTCTAAAGCCTGTGAGCCTAACTATTAAATGTAAATACAGTCAGGATCCTACCACAACTTTATAACTTTAAGATATCTTTCTGCCTTAGAGGTTCTCATATTGTTTTTTAACAGCAGAATCCTTTCTATTTTCCCAGCTGATTTCACATAAGGAATCCTAAAACACAGGAAGAATAAGAGTGGAGTCTCCCTGGTGGTGGAGTGCGGGTTGGGGCCTGGGATTCAGCGCACTGGACCTACAGTTCACAAGCATGAGGTGAGGTGCCCTGAACACTCGCTGAGGAGGAGTATTTTAAATCTTCAGGGAAACAAGTTGCATCAGGCAGATGCTGCATGAACTGCTAGGTGCAGGCAGCCCCTAGTCCACACCGGACTTCATCGTCCCTTCTGCTAGCATCAACGTCAATATCAAGGTGGGATTTCCATGGTGCTGGACAAAACCAGCAGCACTGCCCAAAACAACACGGACGGGAAATGAGGGCACATAAACCCCATCAGGGATGAAAATTTTAGTTTTCATTTTATGTGCACGATTTTTTCAAACATCTACCAAGTTGTTAGAGCATAAATACTTATTAACTTGTCTGAATCGAACTACTGAATATAATGAAATGTTAGGTATTCCCTTTCGCCCAGAGGTGCCACTGAAAAATCACTGACACCGTAAGGGCTCCATGACCTAAAAACTGAGAATATGCAGACAAGGACTATCCCCATATCTGAGGCACAGGTGCGACCCACCGTGGTGAGCACGGACGTGTGAGGGACAGAGCCAGATGTCCTAGCCACTCTCCTCAGGGTGTGGGCGAGACTTTCCCCTTCTTCTCCACCCACCTTTATTTTGTTCTCACCCCCTTACAGATAAGACAGTTTAATTTTTAATTAAGGGAAATGTAAAAGAAAAAGTTTCTTTTAAAAAAATCAAATCATTCATTAGATCTCAAATTCCAATCTTACATATTATTCCAAAGACTTCACTTGGTGGTTTTCAAATGACCAAAAAGTGAAAACACAAAAAGGTCTGGAAGTGAGAGTATTTTCTTCTCGATAACCTGGTTATAATGATTCTGAATAAAGGAAAAACTCAACCTCAGAAAAACCATCCAAAGTGAAGTATCCTCTGTTGTCAAATCCAGTTTGGGTATCATCTGTGTAGTGGGATACCCTCATAACGTTAACAGAGTAATAAATGAATATGACCTATCTGATATTCTACTGGGGAAAAAGTGTGTGGCCATACCCAAATTCCACACAATACAAAACTTTTCCCCCAATTTCAAATATACACAGACAGCTGTCATTCTGAAGTTAAGACAGATCACTTATGTTCAAGAGGACCTGGGGATGGAATTTAACAGGTATTAAATTTTGGTTTGGGCTGTATGTAATCTTTTATTTGCTGCATTAATTGAGATTTGTATTTTTTATAGGTAACTCAATACTTCCAAAGCACTCATAAAAATTTTTAGAAATTTCTACATTTCTAATCAGTCCAACTTAAAATTGCTACTTGATATAGATACAGAGGATATTTTAAGAAATTTTAAACATTAAAAACAAGGAGAAATCACTAACTACACATAAGACAATTTCCTCAAGATGCCCTAATTATTCCCAAATAATAATGAAAATATACTATCTCACATTACAAAATACTCATTTTTGTAAGACTGATAACTCATACTCATATAATTGTAATATTATAATCTACACATAAGAGTTCCATGAACTATTGCTCCAAAAGCAAGTAGCATATTGCATCATCAGTGTGTGTATGACACCTGGAACTGCTGGCTAATTTTAATGAGGAAATGTCATGCTACTTATCTCTGAAGAAATAAGCACATATTAAATTAAAACATTCATTCTAACTTCCCACAGATGTGTGTGCCAAGATCTCATAAGAACATTTCGCAGACACGTAAACATTTTGCCCGCCTGTCAAATGCTCCCCAGCCCCTCCAGAAAGAGAAGGACCTGCGGGAAGGCAGGGCTGTGACTGAGCTGCCCTGGGGACCAACAAGTGTTTTGGGAGCTCTCTATTCAAGACATGGACACCCCGCCAGTGCCCCGTGTGTGCACGCACGGACCTCCGCTGACGTGCACTTCATAGAGGGAGTACTTGGGGGACGACAGCATCCGCATGTCAGGCCGGAATTTCTCCGCCAGCGTCTCGATCACATCTTGAGTGGTGGCAGTACTAGAAACCCGAATGCATTTTGTTGCAAAATTCCCAGCAGCTTTATCTTGAAAATAAAATCTCATCACTCCATGGAACTCCAAATCCTAAAAGAAAACAAAAAGATACATTTTTGGAAAAATAACATTCTAAAAAGATTCACTTTTTATAACAATAATAAATGAAAAAGGCTATTCACCACTTTTTAAAAATGTTTCATTACCATAAACATCTGAGACAGAAACTGAGAGACAAGGCATTTTCGTCCTCAAATTTAATTATGTGACTTGGGACAAGTTATTTACAACTTCTGCTTACTCGTCTCACATCTAAGACAACAGTGTAGAGGCAGCTGTTAGTAACAGCTAATATTAATGAGTCTTCAGCAAGTACCAGGCACACCTTGACATGTAGTATTTTACTATGTCTTTATAATGGCCCAGTTAAGTAGATTTATTACTAAACTCTATTTTCAAGATTTGGTCATTAAAACAAAGTTTAAATTGCTTGCTCAAGTAGTTATATGGCAAATCCAGAGTTAAAATCCAGATCCACGGGTCCCCAAAGTCCACGCTTATCAGTCCCTGAGGTCCTGCCCAACCTGGAGAATATAAAGCCTCAATGAAGAAAGAGACCATTTCCACAGGGGAAATGTTAGCCCCAATTCTACCATAAATGTGAACAAATGGAAACTCTTTAACTTTTGCAGAATATAACTGTAACTAATTTTAATATGAACTACTTGGCCAAAATCAACGAACACAATTTAGATTTTTCTCAAAACCTTACTTCTAGAAAAAAATACAATGGTCTTACAGGTGAAGGAATACTACTGTAACAGAGACTGTAGCCCATGCAACTATGCGATGTTCTTTCCTGTTATTTCCTTGTTTCCCTTTTTAATTAGAATGCAAGTCAGTCAGGTGAAACTTATGTGGGCTTCCAGGCCTTTTGCTACAACCGTAAGACTCAGTGGTTCATATCCCGCAGCTGAACCACTGTATCAGAGAGAATCTGGTTCTTGTTTGGTGGGTTACACTTTCCCTGGGGAGATGGGAGGGGGGAAGGGGAGCGGAAGGGTAAGGTCCAGAGCTCCTGTGTTCCCTATTATTTGCCTGAACACGAAAAAAGCACAGGTCCCGACGAAATTCCAAGGAGTGTTTCTAACTCCTTGGCTACCCTCACTGCCCCCAGCACCACCAAAGGTCCATGGCTCATCAGTTCTCCCCACTTCTCGCCCTCCACACTAGCACGTCAAGTCATTCCACCTTCAGTAGACACCTAGAATCCATCCAAAGTTTTGTTAAAAGTAAGTCAGATGATGTCACTCCTTAGCTTTACTCCTGGCAATGGCCTTTCTAGGGGCTCAAAGCCCATCACAAGTAAGCTTTCTCTACTTCCTCCCAATCTATTTGCTTATTCTTCACTAATAATTATGCCTTAATAATTGTTATGGTTGTGGGATATTAGAATGTGGATAACTGTATAAACTATATGAAAATTAAAACAGAAAATGAGACATTAAGACGTATTTCTAGCCCCAAAGCTTTACTGTGCTTGCTCAGATCCTGTCCGACCACTAGGCAGTCAGTCCGTCCCACCCATTTCCCACTGCCCCAGGGAAAACAGAGAGTAAGCGAGCCTGTGTGTAAATAAATAAATAAATACCACTGAACCACAGATCTTGGGTTGAAGTAGGGCCACTGATTATGGGCGTGAGACTGAAAAAAGCTTTGAGTTAGCAAAATGGGAGCTATATTAATAGTCCTGCCCCAGTCTCTCAAAATCATACAAACTGCCTCTCTGTTAGCCTAGGTCAAGCAGCAAAGAAAGTTAAACATCCTTTTTGAAGGTTTATCTTTTAGTCTGGCAACCCCGAAACCTCCAGATGTGAAAGATGCCCCTAAACTGTAAATGTGTATGTCAGTACAGTACAGTACTATTATTACTACTACTGTAAGTACAGTATTACTGGTATTACAAATAGCTCCTGGGCACCAAGTACTTCCTGGGTGCCAGGAGCTGTCTGAACACCTCCCCCTGCAGGGCTTCCTTCCCCAGCTCCCCTTTGCTCACAGGTCCCCTCCCTGCACCCCTCCCTTTCATCATTCAAATGCTTCTCTACTCTCCCTATCCACCACCCTCCTCAGGCTATCCTAAGACAACACAGTAGGAAACAAGAATTATTCTACACATTTAGTTGCATAAATGTGTTTATTATAGGAGTCCTACTTTTATCCCAGGATTCTGATACTATCATCACCACTACCACTCTGAAATCACCTCTATATCACACCTAACGGTCTCAAATATTAATTGGCCCTGGCTCCTCCAAGGGCTCATGCTTTATAGATGAAGTTAAACCAAAAAGGCAAAGTAACCTCCCACTCAATCATTTTGTTAACAGAGTAATTTTATATCATTTGTGACAAGAATAAGACGTGTACCTGTGGATCCCAAAGACAAGAAAGCACCACTTTCCCTGGTAACTGTCCACAAAAAACTCGAAAATACCAGACATCAAAGATCTGGGAGGGAATGCCCAACTTGGCAAGAACACAAAGGAAATGATCAAGAATGAATCTGGTAAGGCAAGCATGGAAAGGAGGAGATCCCTCAATCATCCTCGCAAAAATCCCTTATGTATAGATTACTACCGTTTTTAAGAGGAAACTAAAAATACAAAATCTCCATTATTAATGTGATTCTGTACTGATCTCACATAAAATGTTGAGATAAAAGGAAAAAAAGGAGTAAACCCAAGGGTAGAGATCCAGCAAGCAACAGTACTCGTGTCTACAGAGAAATAATATTTCCGTTGACGTTTTTAAAGAAACAAATCTCCAGGTTCTACACCTAGCCTAAATAAAGCAGCCTATTAAAACTACCTTTGATTTCATTTGCACTAGATAAATGTTAATAAATATTAACTTAGTTTGCCTGGTTACCTCAATATCACACAATACCTGAGTGTAGCTGTTATTAGAATAACACCTTAATAAATTAATACATTAACATTGTGTTTAATTATTCAACCAAATACAAGTTTGGCCTGTTTTGACTAAGTCCACAGAATTTTATCAGACCTGAAAAGATTGGTAAAATCAAGTTCTTGAACCTTAAAGTTTGGTGTATAATGACCAAACAAAAAATAATAACTAACATATATTAAGGGCTACTATGTGCCAGATACTAGGAGTTCAGCATTTAATTCCTCAAACATGAACTAGGTACTATTATCATCTTGACTTTACAGGGGGTACAAAAGGCCCATAGAGGTTTTAAGTATGTTTTAACTATGATCAGACAGCTTGCCAAGGAAGCAGGGCTGAGATGCAGCCAGCATTAGCTGTCCATGAAACCTCAACTTTTACACCACTATGCTCTGCAGCCCCTTCAAGTCACTTCATCATCTAGAGGAAGACTGGTATGAGTTTCTTCCTTTTCTTTACAACAGGTACAAGAGGAGTTCCAGAAAAATAGTGAAGAGAAAGAATTCTGACACTCAGAGTGGTCAATGACTTGCCAGAATCACCATCCAGACAGATCTTAAGTATCTTAACGCTCACTTTGGGATCGAAGGCCAGGCTCACCACACGCAGTGCCTCATTAATTCCTCTATGAGCCCACGAGCCTGGCCACTGCATGGTGCAAGGGACACCTGGGAGTTTGCAGCAGGGTAGAAATAAGTTAGTATTTCAACTTAATAGCTGTATATTTGAATGAGCTCTCTCATATGCATGTGAGCTCCAATTTCATTAATTATAAAATGAAAATAAGCTTGTTTTGAGGAGTAAACTATATAAAGAACCGGCAATCAACGCTCCCACTAGAGGGTAGCTTTCCTGAGGGACTCTGATTCATTGTTCTAGGCCCTCCCTCAGTCTCTAATACATTGCTTCGCACATAAAAATAACAAATTTGAGTCAAAACTTCCAATAACAATGTCTGATTCTTCCATCTGTGGTTTGTCTGCTCTGAACTGATAAGGACTCTGGAACAAAACTTTAAATCTGTAATAAGCAGCCCTGAAGTTTCAACAACAGGGCAATATTCTGATAATGTTGCAGCCAATACAGTTATAATTTAACAAAGACAAATGTTTCCTTAACAAAGTCCTTACACGAATACCCAAGAGACAACAGTATTTAAAATTTAAAAACGCTGTTGTAGATCCTCCAATACCTAAATTAAGTGCCTACTTGTTGGCAGCGTATTTTCAGGAAGACACTTGTGTTTGGAGCAGGTAGGCCAGTAACTGGGGTAAACTGGGGTAAGTACTATAATCAGCACAGTCCACTACCATATGCCAACAGCAATAATCTAAGTGAGAGGCAGAAGACACAATGTATCACCTGTTTTCCTTTCCTTAAGAGTAATTTTTCCTGAAAGGAAAACAAGTTTCTTTCTTTCCTAAAGGTGTATATTTACCTTTGTATAAACCTCTCCCTGAGAAATATTATCACAAGGATTATTACAATAGAAATGAACACTACTTGGGGTGGATTTAATGATAACTTGGAAACAAAATTATTTTAGTATTTATCAGAAAGAATAGACCAAAAACAACAACAAAAACCCCAAACCACAGAAGGCTATATTATAAATTACTAGAGAGCCAATGCAAACAACAAAGGATTAAAGGCAGAGATTAGCTTTGAAATATTTTATCAATCTTATTAATTAATGAAACTGATAATCAACTGGCCCTCTCCAAAACCAGTAAAAACTCACCAGGGCAATCCCAAATCTCCTTCTGCTCAAACTACTAAGAACCATTTGTTCTAAAGCTACATGGGTCGACCGTGCTGATCCACCTTTCTTCTCATTGTGTCCAGCATTTATGTGAAGCCATTTCCTAGCCTGCAGCAAAGCACTGCTAACTGAAACAGGGAATCATCCAACTCCCCATGGAGGAAAGGGCAGTGGACAGACCACACCACTTTGTTACATACACATAATTCATTTCTAATGCTGGTGCCTCCAAAAATAGGTGCAAAATGTTAAGAAAAAATACAGCTGTGCCTCAAAACACACACACACGCACACACACGTTATTAGTACGTAAATCAATCAACTGGACAACAGCCATTTGAGTGTTAA